TTTTATAGGGGAAAAATCCCCCCCAAACTTAACTCCCAACCAATGTGGGACTTTGGCATTTTGTCAAACTTCAACAAGTTAGGCTACTGCGGTACATTTGTTGCTACATATAAACTATCTACAGCCTTGGTGAAAACTCAACCAAAAAGGCTTTACATTTTCACTTCTGCTTCAATCTTAATTTGGTATCANCACTCCAAAAATACAAGTGAAATAATACTAAAGAGAGAAGATACAAATGCCTTAAACAGATGAGAAGGCAAATGAGAGGTGTGTTTAAATCCTAAACATTAAGCCTTCTTTTATAGGGGAAAAATCCCCCCCAAACTTAACTCCCAACCAATGTGGGACTTTGGCATTTTGTCAAACTTCAACAAGTTAGGCTACTGCGGTACATTTGTTGCTACATATAAACTATCTACAGCCTTGGTGAAAACTCAACCAAAAAGGCTTTACATTTTCACTTCTGCTTCAATCTTAATTTGGTATCAAGAGCCAATTTTTTCTTTTTTTTTCCTGGCACCATGACTATTTCTCCCAGTCCACTGCTAATTCCGCTACAGTTCAGCCATCTTCTTCCACATCAACACACCTTTCTATTATTGATTCCAAATCTCAAACTGTGAGTCCTCCTAGTTTACCAATAAAACTTGATCGGGACAACTATTACCTTTGGCAATCCACTATTTACACTGTGTTTGAAGCCTTCGATTTAGAGGCTCATCTTGACGGATCTGACATTCCTTCCCCCACCATTGCTACATAAAATGCAATCACTTCCGAACCTACAGCTAATCCAGCTTTCAAAGCATGGAAGAAAAGAGACAAAGTTCTCCTCCTTTGGCTCAAAACCACCATTTCCCAGTTCATCCTACCACATTTCATGCACATCCGTACCACTCATAAGGCTTGGTCCTACCTTTCCAACCTTTATCAATCCCAATCACGTGCCCGAGTTATGAAACTTCGCCATCAACTTCAAACCACGACTAAGGGCTCTTCCTCTGTCATGGAATACGTTGACAAGAAACGCACAATTTCCCATAGCCTAGCCCGTGCTGCACATCCTATCACGGACGAAGAACTAATGATCTCTATTTTGTTCGGTCAAAACTCTTCATATGGCCCTTTTCGCTCAGCTATTAATGCTCAACTTGAAACCCTCACAACTGATTCTCTTCTTGGTTTACTTCTCCAGGAAGAGGAAAAACTTGCAGAGGAACACAAAGCTTTTCAACTTCAGGCCAATGTCCTCTCTCGCCAATATCCTAGCCGTCCTCCATCCATCGGACAATCCAACCAGCAGTCACGACCAAACAATGGCCAAAGATCCTTTACTCGGACAAATAACAACCCTTCTCGTCCTAATAGTCGTTTCTCTACTCGCATTATATGTCAGATTTGTGAGAAGCCTAATCACCATGCCCGAAATTGCTACAATTGTAGCAACATTGATGCCTATCCTCCAAACAGATCCTCTAACCACCCACAAGCCAATATGGTCACTCCCTCAGCTAATACAATTTCTCCTTCTGCTATTGTTGACAATTCATGGTTCATTGATTCCAGTGCATCTAATCATGTTACGTCAGATTTATCTCAACTCTCTATTCATACGGGCTATGATGGTGACGAGCAACTTGCTGTAGGTAATGGCCATAAAATGCCTATTCATAACATGGGCTCCTCTGTCCTTCCATGTCCAAATCGCCCTCTCCATCTCAATGGCATTCTCCATGTTCCTTCCATCACCAAAAATTTATTAAGTGTCTCTCAATTCACTAGAGATAATAATGTTATTATGGAATTTCACCCTTTTTGTTGTCTTGTGAAGGATCTTCAGGGAAAAATATTGCTTCGAGGGACAATTGATCATGGCTTATACCGTCTGAATGGTGGGGTTCCTGTTGTCTCCTCCAAGTCCTCCTCACCCATGGCTCCTTGCACTTTTGTCTGTTCTCGTGCATCGCTCTAAGCGTGGCATGAACGTCTTGGTCATCCTCATGAGCAGCTTTTACGTCGTTTAGTATCTACTTTTGGTCTGCCATTATCGTCAAATAAAATGTCCAGTATCTGTGGATCATGTCAATTAGGAAAAAGCCATAGGCTCCATTTGCCTTCTTCGTCAAGTCGTAGTTCATCTCCCTTTGATTTGGTGTACTCTGATGTGTGGGGACCTACTCCGCATCTCTCAATTAATGGAAATAAGTATTTTGTTCAATTTCTTGATGACGCCACAAAATTCATTTGGATATTTTTCTTGGAGACTAAATCTCAAGTTCTTGATGTCCTCAAATACTTTCATAAAATGGTTGAAACTCAATTTGGCAAGAAAATAAAAAATTTGCAAACTGATTGGGTGGGGAGTATCGCAATGTGTCTTCCTATGCTCAATCTATTGACATTAATCATCGTCTCTCTTGTTCCCATACACATGAACAAAATGGGGCTCCTGAAAGACGCAACCGCACCATTGTTGAAAAAGGGCTCACTCTGCTTGCTCATTCATGTCTTCCCTTCCAGTACTGGGAACATGCTTTTGCCACTGCTACATACTTAAATAACAGAACAATCACTCCTATATTATCCTTCAAGTCGTCCTACCAAGCTTTATACCACCGTCCGCCAGACTACCTCCTTCTCCGAAAATTTGGTTGTCTGTGCTATCCTTTTCTTCGTCCTTATAATAATCATAAATTTGACTTTCGTTCTCTTCCATGTGTCTTCTTAGGTTACAGTTCGAAGCACAAAGGTTACTTGTGTCACTATCCTCCCACCAATCGGACATACAATGCTCGCCATGTAATATTTGATGAAAACAAATTTCCTTTTCCTCACTACAACACCCCCACTTCCAGTTCCAATGAAGATTCACAGCTACCATCCTTAACAATTTTACAGTCCATTTCAAATTCCATTGACTCAAATATCAACTCACCATCTCATATCCTTCCTCCACATCCCCCCTCTCCCCTCACAATACCTACTGAAGCATTGCCCACAACTTCTCCACCAGTAGCTTCCCTAACAGCTTCTCCCGTGCCAAACACCACAAATACCTCTACTGCTATCTCAACTCATCTTCCTCTACCGAACCCTCTTCCCACATATTTCCGGCCAGCAACCTCCTCTACTCACCATATGACTACACGAGCTCAAACAAATTCACTTAAACCTAAAGCTCTTGTTGCATCTCATCACCCTATTCCAGCCTCATCTTCGCTCCCCAATGAGCCAAAAACTTACAAGCAAGCTGCTTCCTCCCCTGAGTGGCTTCGTGCCATGGATACAGAATATCAAGCACTGCTCCGTAACCGCACCTGGACACTCACTCCTTGTCCCCCCAATGTAAATGTGGTAGGTTGCAAATGGGTGTATCGTATTAAGCATCGAGCCGATGGCTCCATTGAAAGGTACAAAGCTCGCCTAGTTGCAAAAGGCTTTCATCAAGAAGAAGGTGTTGACTTTCATGATACTTTTAGCCCTGTTGTGAAACCTTCTACTATTTGGCTTGTCCTCTCTCATGCCATATCTAAAGGGTGGGTTCTCAAGCAATTGTATGTCAATAATGCATTCCTAAATGGTGATCTTCGGAGGTTGTTTATATGACTCAACCGCCGGATTTGTTGATAAGTCTCGACCAAATTTTATATGTCGGCTCTCTAAAACTTTATACGGTCTCAAACAAGCACCCCGTGCTTGGTTTCTCAAGCTCAAAACCTTTCTCATCTCACATGGGTATACATCTTGTTACTCAGATTCATCCCTCTTTGTTCGTCATACTATATCTTCTACTACCTACCTCTTGGTCTATGTTGATGATATTATAATAACGGGTAGTGACCCCTCATATTTATCCTCATTCACCAAAGCACTTGACCTTCAGTTCTCCCTTAAAGATCTAGGACATCTCTCTTTTTTCTTGGGTGTTGAAGTTAATCGTATAGGCTCTGGGATACACCTTTCTCAAGCTAATTACATTCGTGACCTACTCACTCGAGCCAAGATGACCGACTGCAAACCTTCTCCTTCTCCAGCGGGCAGCACTATCCAATTAGGCAAACATGGTGAAACCTTTGCTGATCCTTCTGTATATCGGAGCATTGTTGGTGCTCTCCAATATGTGACCATCACCCGACCAGAAATATCCTTTTCTGTGAGTCGTGTATGTCAATATATGCACAATCCTACAATGGATCATTGGAAAGCAGTGAAAAAAATTCTTCGTTATTTGAAAGGTACCCTTACATATGGCCTCTCCATCGCACCATCCACTTCTTCCTCTGTGCATGTTTACTGTGATGCGGGATGGGCTGCTAATCCTGATGATCGACGTTCTCATCATGGTTTCGCTGTATATTATGGGTCTAATCTCATCAGTTGGTCATCGCGGAAACAACAAGTAGTGGCTCGCTCTAGTACCGAAGTCGAATATCGTGCCATTGCTTTTGCCGCATCTGAAGTATCCTGGCTAACCAGTCTGCTTAAGGAGCTCCAGTTACCTTGCCCTCCTGCTCCAGTAGTTTTTTGTGACAATATTAGTGCTATTTATCTCACAAGCCAATCCTTTTTTTCATCAGCGGTCGAAACACATTGAAATTGACTACCATTTTGTCCGGGAAAAGGTTGATCGTGGCCAACTTTCTGTTCGGTACATTCCTTCTACAGATCAAACAGCTGATATATTTACCAAGGCTCTAAGCTCCTCTCGATTTTCTCAGTTACGGTCCAAGCTCAATGTCTCTAAACTCGACATGAGCATGTCGGGGTGTTAGATGACCATCGTATCTCTTGGATATATCAGATATGGTTTAGATGTGTATCTTTTAAATATATTAGATAAGGATTTAGATTACATTGTAAATTCAAATTCCTATAAGTCATAGGTTAGTTAGGCTACTGCGGTACATTTGTTTCTATATATAAATTATCTACAGCCTTGGTGAAAACTCAACCAAAAAGGCTTTACATTTTCACTTTTGCTTCAATCTTAATTGTCTGGACCAACTCCAGCCTTCGAAACTCCGGGATAATGGGTCACCCCTCTACTGTTCTCCACTTAAATATCAGACTTAGTTCTCATGGCACAGGAATTGAACTTGCCCTTGGCCATTGCCACTTGAACTAAGGGGCTTGAATTTGTGACTAAGTCACAACTCCCTCAACCAACCTTTGTCACTTGAATTAAGAAATTTAAATTATTACTTCTGAGAATATTACATTCGAATTTTCCAATAACAAATTGTGACGCCCAAATGCCTAATTTCGATTTTCATTTTGGTTTCTCAGCAACTACAAATTTCTATCCCAAAATTACGCATCATATTCAACCTTTCATTCTTCATTCCTACACTATGAAATATTGGGATCTGGTTGCACGCCACAACAATATTATATTTGGATCGGGTTGCACGCTGTAACAATATTATATTTTGATCGGGTTGCACGCCGCAACAATATTATATTTTGATCGGGTTGCACGCTGCAATAGTGATATATGATTTGGATGGGGTTGCGCGCCGCAACAATAAAGGATAAAAGTGGATATTGATTTGTTCTATTTCCTTATTCCTTTTGCTACGAATTTTAAATTGTTCTTTACGTTTTCCTCCTGAGTTACTGTTGGCAAATAATATTCCCCCACAGCATGNCCTAGCCTCGTCACTACTTCGCCGGGGTTAGGCTAGGCACTTACCAGCACATGAGGTCGGTTGTACTTATACTATACTCTGCACTGTGTGCAGATCCCAGAGCAACAACTTTTGGGCCTTAGCTTGGGTGGTTGCCTTCAGTCCATACGGAGATCCAAGGTAGTCCTGCAGGCGTTCGCAGGCCCTGGCGGCTCCCTCTATCTTTTCTTTCTGTTTCACTCATGTAATTCAAAAACAGTGTTGCATTTATTTTTCGGACCTTGTTTGTAGAATTCTTAGACCGTCTGTGGAGTTGTGACACCAGTCTTTGGTAGTTTTTGTTTAAGAAATCATGTTGGAATTATTTAAATGGTTTAATTGTCTCTTCCGCTTGTTTTAAATTTTCACTGTTTATAAACTGTTGATTCACATTTGTTAAAGAGTTAAAATGGGAAAAATGTAATTTGTTCAAATGGTCGGCTTGCCTAGCTTTCACTAGTAGGCGCCATCACGACTCCCGAGGGTGGAAAATCCGGGTCGTGACACTCCATCTCTTCCATCTCCCCCTCCGACGACCACCACAAAAATTAGAACCACAATTCAAATCAAGAGTTGTCAGATCGTTTAGAAGTAACACTGTGCGGTGATGGTCATAAGAGATAATGTACAGATAATGAGACCTTTAGCATACAGTACAAAGCCCAAAACAAATTCGAATTCATTGACAAAGATAATTCGAAGACAAAAAAAAATCAAAGTTATTGACCAAGATAATTCGAAGACAAAGAAATAAAATCTCAAGAGAAAGCAAAGCAACAGTGAGTCATAAATCTTGACGTGCTCTGCTATGAGATTAACACCAAAAAGTTATAAATTTTCAATTTCATTTTGCCTGAATATTGTGGCACCCAAATTGACGAAGCGGACAACGGTCCTCATAAGCCTCCACTAGTTGTATAATCTCTAATAGCAGCTCCGGCAACATATTCGACCATGATGATGTCGCATCACCAGAATCCAATTGACGGCACTGTCATTTTCAGCTGCTAATTTGTTCGAATCGCTAAAAAATCGAATAGTTGCTAATTTTCTGAATATTAGGAGCCTGAGTGATATGATAGTTGGACTGTAAAATCATAGAGAAGATAAAAAGAGACGGTGGGTCCAACGAAGAAGACAACAGGCATGGCAAAAAAAGAAGAAAAAAATTATAATTTTTGACATATGCACTTACATATACACTTTTAAAACTATTTTATAGTGTTACGCATTTTTTTTGCGTGCAAATCACGCGTGTGATACGTACTAAAAAAGGTGTGTCTTTGTTATACTATAGAAATGTTGAGTGTGTAAGCTAATTTTTGTCCGCAAAAAGTATGTAACAGGGATTTGGTCCATAATTCAGGGAGTAACTTATGTATTTTGTCACAAATTTATTCCTCCGAAAATATTCCTCAATTCTTTATGATACCCACATGGTATATACTCCCTCCATTTCAATTTAGATGAGGTAGTTTGACTCGGCACGAAGTTTAAGAAAAAATGAAGACTTTTAAAACTTGTGATCTTAAAAGCTTAAAGGGTAAAAATTTTG